CTGCAACACTCGGGTGACTTCGTGATCGGTAGAGCTTTTCGAGCGTTGTATGACTGATGGATTACAACGCTTTGGTGGGATAAAAACAGACTTACGCATTTCGGTTGAATTTTGAAATTTCTGACTAGTCTATGATATTTATGAAATGATCAAAATCGTACTGCTGCTGGCTCTGAATCGTTACCTTTCGTTAAAAACCTCCAAGTTTACTTTTTTACATAGTCCGACCTATATTATTGATACTATTACTTTTGAGCTTTGTAAACCACGCAGTCTTTCACTAGTGCAGACAGCTTAGTGTTCTTAAAATGAGCATTTTTGAAGTCTCAGTGATATGGACAGAATTTCTTGTGGCACAAGTTCGCGTATATGTTGTGAACTGCCTTGATTATTGCGTAGTTTGATTTCATTGATTTCTAAGGTTGGTCACAGGATTTTTTGTATTGTCCAGTTTATTCTCAAAGAAAGCACGAGTTCTTTTCATGCTTGATATAAAATTTATCGTAATTATTTTCAATACGAAATGACGTTTTAACTTTTTCACGAGGTCGTTTGTAGTGTCAGTAATGGAAGAACTGGGTGGAAATATGTCAGAAGGCCATTAAGATATTTGGTAAGCCGTTTATTAGGTTGTTTTTCTTACTCATCTATAATTTCACAAGATTTTCTAACGTGTCGAAGTTCCATTTTGCTTGTTTACAATTGTTTTTTTTATTTATTTGCAATAAAATTTATGCTGTTTGTTGCACAAGTTATTCTATCTGATATGAAGCAGTCTTTCACCTAAAATCTTGCGTTTGCCATGCATGTAATGCTAGTTTTAGCATAAATCCTTAATCGTTACCAAATGCGTAAATGACAGAAGTAATCATCCTTCCGGTAGCTTACTGTAAGGTCGTGCTGCATGCTCTGAAGTACCCGCACTGCGCTATAAATGGCGTGCTGGTCGGCAGAAAGAAGAAGGATGGTCGTACGATCGTCTTGGATGCGGTGCCTTTTTTTCATCGTTGGCTTTCTCTTACTCCAATGCTCGAAGTAGCGCTGTGTCAGGTACGAATTTTGCGTGTAGTATACACTGTCATTGTGTGCTTGGTGCTTTAAGGTTGACGTGTTTTGCGAAGACAGTTCCGAACATCTAAGTATCGTCGGCTATTATCAAGCAAACGAGCACATCGGAGACAATAAGTGCGTTTTAATTGCTGCATGTTTCGATGCAATTTTGCGCGCTTTTATTGTTTAGTGAGACAGTAAATTGACTTCGAGGGATGTGATCGTGGTATTAAGCAGATTATGTAAGGTGTTGACTCTGTAGTATCGTGATGTTCATTTCTTGTTTAGAAGATCAGTGATGTCATTTTTAACCTGTAAAAATGTGCTGATAATGAGTGACAATAATTAGAGATAAGCGTATTTTGAATTTGTACGTGACAAAGCTCATTTTCTCATTCACGTGATTGAGAGGGGCAGTAATCCAAGTATAATATTAAACGATTGACTGTGGTACAATCTAGTCCTTAGCTGTTTTGTAGCGGTAATGGTGTGTTACAAATGTGAAGGTAGTACCGGTCGACCACGACGGCCTTGCGAAGAAACCGAGTTCTGATCGGGCAATGAGCTTCTTAGTTGAAGATCTGTTTACCAACTGTTTTTGCTTTATCATCAACATCTCAGATTAACAATGCTTAATCAGCAGACTACGATGTCTGATTTACGATATCTGACCGTTAGAAATGGTACTCTAGATTAATATAGTCTACGTTCGCTACTGTGGTGAACATCATATTCCTCTTCTCAAGCAAGTCTCTCAACGAGGTGTTTCCATGGTTTGTATTGTCCTCCAGCGCATCTTTGGCCAATGCCGTACGCGATCCCAAGCGAAAAAGACTTTGAATATATTTCCATTCTCTTTTCGGGTCGTTTTATCAGACCAAGTCAGGCGCTGATATCTGAGTACAGCTGGTAGTCTTCTCAGATCGATGGTTGACAGCAACTACTCATGACCTGGTGGTACCATCGCACTTCGTGAATATTGCGCAGACAGCTTTGTTAAAAGTTGTTTAGCCTAGCTTCATGATGCCGGTCGAATACGCCCGTTCAATTCCTAGTACTTCATATCATTCATGGCTCTATCTGCAAGGAACCTGATTGAAAATAACAGAAACCAGCAGTTAGCAACAGCATAATATCTGACCGTATGTTCAAGGAACATCCAAATACACAAGCAGCCCGCGGAATGTTTTGCCCGGCAAAGAATCTAGGAAGAGCTGGACTGTAATTGGCATCAACTCCTATTTTCTCCACGAAATATCGCAGGTAGATAAACTCACGCATCTGTTCTAGTGCAGCGAAAATGACTGGATTTCATTTCTGATGATTGTTACGCGGTAGTATAGCGCCACTCTCTTCTCTCTAGATGTTTAAGGGAATGGTTAAACAGGCCACGTCTCTGTGCGACATTGTATCTTCTGCATTGCATCGATGCATCTCAGTTTTGTTTACTTAGTGTACCGTCCCCATCATTATTCCACACCATTTGCTCCAGCCCGTAGATTTCTCATATGTAAGCTGAAATATGACAGACGTCGACCAGGAAGCTAGCATGCAACATGAAGGAACAGGACGGAGGTGTTTCTGCTTTCGGAGAGGAATATTTCCTTCTGCGATACAGCAGCTGGCGCTTTATGGTACTAGGGTTGTAAAGCTGTAGATACAACAGATGTCGCAAGTGAGCGACGTTTTACTTACGCAAACGGCTCAAGGGGATGATCTTAACAGCAACTGTTCTCGTTGCCAGCTGTTTCAGCAGCTGAAATTTCTTATAAGCTTACGCAGAAACATAAGAAATGTCGGTTAGAATACTGGAAATTTGTTAATAAGTATAAAAACATACTCGGCTAAAAAGCTTATGCTCATGATATTGTTTTCTTTTAAGTGAAGATAATTGAATACTTTACTTCTAGAATGGAATCATTTGTGAACCCCGTTTTATAGCATTTTTAGAAAGTGTACTATCTATGTATATTAAGAATCAAATTACTCGCAGAAGCCGTTTCATTCATTGACTGTTATTGCTATTTTATTCGTTTATTTTCATACCTATCAATTACCTTTCGTTGCGAGGACAGCGGCTTTCCAGTGGTTGCGGTTTTTCACTAATCGATTAGTCTTAGGACTGAATTCGAATGCGCTACAATTCCAGACTTTCAGTATCTGCGGGCCATCTGACCCTAGTTCTACCATGTAGAACCTGCCATTTGAAAGTCATCTGACAACTTTACTACGCGCAAAACCATCCTGATTATGATCTCTTGCCTGAGGGGAGAAGCATTTAGCTAATTGTTGTGAATTGCCTTGCCGAATCTCGTCACCCTGCAGCGTTCAAAGGAATTTAGCCACTCGTTTGTTTTTGCGGTGGCATTCTTTTGATCGATATCCAGCCCTCATGATTGTAGATCAGTGTCGGGGCATTAAAATAAGCTTGAAGACAGATTCAAACTGCTGATATGTTTCATCCTTGTGACAGAGCACCTTCATTACAGCGCTCGTTTAACTGGTTCACATGCCTGTCCGCCTTTCCTATCCTCTGTCAGTCTTGAATGCCACATCGAAATGTTTAGATCTGTTAACCAGCCTCAGTTGCACTACGTCAATTATCAGAACATGCTAAGTTTCATCTCTCGAAAGTTCAAGCGCTTCTGTCTTTGAACGGCTGATATTAATCCCTGCTTTATTGCATGCAGCAGCAAAAAACTTATCAAGTGCACGTTAGCGATCAGCATAAACACGACCAGTGACTCAGTCGAACGTCTCATTGCGCGGTTTTCTTCGTATGGGCTAAATCTGCTGATCCAGTTCATAAAAGTTATGAACAGGCAGCAGGAAAGGCGACAGAAGATTCCATGCGACTTCCCTACTGTTAACCCAAATGCAGATCTTTTAACCAGATAAATTGGTTTGTGGAACTCCCAGCAGTTGATCATCTGCTCAGTATTTCTACATCAATATTTTTTTATTTCGACTATCGCATCCTTCTTCAAGAAATATAAATCCAGCATTAACATCCTTCGCATGCCTTTGGTATTTTCGCGCATCCAGCGGTGAGTAAAGTATTGATCGATCCTCTGCGCTGCGACCCAGACGAAAGCCACTCTGCCCATCCAGAATCATGTGCTTCCCAATTCTCGGCGTCTGTTTTCCAGAAACGTTACTTACAATTTATCAGGAATATTTAGCAGTATAATATTGTTAATCGTTGCAGTCTGTATGGTCATTTTTCGTTCCGGGACCACTAGATAGGACTGCCATTGTTTGGTTCCCGTCCAGAATTTTGCTCTTCCTGTCACACAGGAGCTAGCCCGTAAATGACGTCCCGATTTGAGGTCTTTGACATGAGGGTAGAGTTACATATTCCTAAGTACGTTATGCCAGTTTGAAGCGATAGCGTTGCTGCTGTTATTAAAACTATCGTGAGACTGTTTCTATGAGTACTGTAATGTACTTAAAGAATATCGCTATGATCTGCAAACATCAGATTTAGTAGATCATCAAAGTTCTTCTCCACCCATAGAGAGTCTGTTCACTGATTAGAAGGTTTACATTTGAACTTTTTACAACACAGACAGTACTTGATTTTCGCCTGCACATGGCGGCTGTTATATTGCCACTCTACTTTGCTGATCAAGCTGTCAGACTTGAATTGTTGCCTCAGCGTTTTCGTACTCTTTTCTTCGCACTTTCATTGACTTGATTGCAGCTTTCCAGATCTCAGTTTATTGAGGGTGCAAAGTAGACGAGCACTCGCTGGCGAGGAACTAAGTACATCTCCGTTTCTACTCTAAAGATGTCAGCAGCTTCCGGTCAGAACAAGAAGTTCTTTCCTCCCTTTAATTGTAACACCAAGATGTTTCACCCCCATGAAGATGAAGTCGTGCTATTATGCTTAAGGTACTAAAGTATATACTATAAACGTCATACGTTATTCGTACCCCTCAGTATGTCAGGTAACGAATGATTCCTCCTGATTTCACGGCGTACTGCATGGTCACCTTGCTCATATGTGTCAAGGGGCCGTTTGAGTAAGCCACGGCTTCATGATATTTGAGCACCTGCAGTGCCAAACGCATTGGGCATCATTTTGTCCCCTTGAGTCACTCTGCGCTCATCACCAACGATGTTTCAGGAGTTAGTACTCATAGGCTACCGCATAAACGTCGTGGCATGCCTAAATTCCATCGGGCTACTAGCAGTAAGGTGGCGGTAATCTGGTCTTGGAAGACTCATTCGTTATTTAATGTAAATATTCGTGTATTCGTGTTTTAACAGTGCGGAACTGTGATTTGTGCTGTACGTGCAGTATTTTTAGAGATTACGCTGATAACAAAATTGACTTATCAGTAACGAAATTTTGATTTATAGAAAGGAACCTCTGCAAAATATTTCGACTCTTGATTCGGGACAACGGACAATCTTAAAATTTTGTTTTGTCTGAGCGTTTCTACGGCATACGTTAATGCAGTTAGCTTTAAGATATAAGTACCTTGCAAAACGCATCAGCGGATATAACCTCAAGTTCAGGAACTTA